TTCCTGGGGCATACTATGATGTATAAATATGCCTATAAGCTGCACCTTCCTTCCATGCTTGCACCACTGTTTCGAAGTCAAACTCAGCTATTGGCGGACCCTCAATGGAGATCCTCACAAGCTCGTCAACCATCTCCGTCCCCATCTGGTTTCGAAACTTATTCTTCACCAAGTTGATTCTACTAAACCCACGCTCACATAATGCAGTGTTGCAGCATTGAACCATGCCGACCATTGCCAACTTCAGCAAGTTGGGATACTTCTTCATCCAGATACTGTGAGCATAAATCATTCCCCAAACATCCACGAAAGTTTTCCCCTTCCACTCCTCGGAAGCTATTATCTTCCATAAACTGTACTCTTCAGCCAGCTCTGCTTCATTGATCATCCCTGTGTAGAACTTTCCAAGTTCCTGAACCTCAAATTTACCAAAAGCTTTCAACTCACGCACTGATGAAGGTAAGTTGATAGGAGCTAAAAAGTGGAACTTGGAGAGAATACCAGTCGCCTCAGAGTCCTGTAACTTGGTCCTTATACCCTCCAAAAGACTAGTGCCAAAGTTCTTTTGAAACTCTAGTACCTCCTCCAAATCTTCTCCGTGAATCGACCTGATCATTTCCACGTCTCTGTATTCGTTTCCCTTAACTGATGACCTGAGCTCATCCAAAGGACCATTGCAGCGTCCACCATCTGGGATTATAGGATATCCTCTGCTATCCAACTGAAAACCATTCAAATCCACCTGCTTATCCAAATAGTATACCTATATCTTGGCCATAGTTGCCTTGCATAAAGGTGCAACACTAGTCACGTCCATAGTCTGTGCTTGAAACTCTAGGTTCAGCTGATTTACCACTGCCAAGATATCTCCTAGAAAGTGGAGTGCATAAAGGAACTTGAAACTCCTAAGACGGTCATACAGCTTCCTTGTTTGAGTTGTTCTCCCGTCCTTAAAAAACTTGAGTAGTGGTTCCAGACACTCACACATCCTGGTAATGGCTCCACCCCTGCTCAACCAACGTGTCTGCTGGATCCGCAACACCTTCAACACCTTGAAGTCTAGCTCGTCCTATAGTGCCTGTAGCTGCTGCAACCTGCTAGAACTCCTTGAGAAAAAACTGGCTACCTTGTTCACCACCTGATCCACTTCATTGCAAAGATTATGAACTGCTGGATTCTTGTAGACGTCCTCCACACATAAGTTAGCTCTGTGTGAAAGACAATGTGTGGAGGTCATGAATGGATTGACCTCCTTCAACCTTGTTGCAACCCCTGTCCTGTTTCCTGTCATAACATTGCAGCCGTCTGAACCAAACCCCACGAACCTGCTCATATCCAACCCCCAATCCTGCAGTGAAGCTATGGTGGTGTTAAAAATCACCTCTGCAGAACTATTGTTCACCATTGACGAGCCTAAATAGCTTGTCAACACCCTTGCGTCGTGGATGTAGGTCACGTAAAAGATGAGGTGTTTACTGGTATTGCATTAACAAATTTAGAACCAAGAATATCACTAATCAGCTTTACCTTATATCCGTGCTCTCATCTAGCATTATTCCAAAGAATGGGCTAGCTTTAACTTTCTCCAAAATTTGATCTAAGAGCACCTACACAACAAAATTCAGTCAAGGTTTATCATCAGACTTTAGCTCACCTTGTTGATGAAAGTGATGAAGCGTGAGTAGGACATCACGTTCTTGTACATGCTAGGAACATAAACTCCGTTCAACTGTTGTAGCTCCAGAAACAATGGGTATTTGCGAAGAGGAACAAAACCTTGTGCAATAGCATAAGTAGTTCTAAACAAGCAAATAACTCCCTTCTCTGCTGCCTCTTGTTGCCAATCATTTGCAGCTGCCATGGAGGATTGACCGCCAGCTTTCACCTCAGCTATGTAAATGGAATGCTTGTGATCTTTTGTTTGCCCATGAGCATGGAAACTTGAAGTCTTCATGTTGGTGGAACCTGATGTACCAAATGGATTCTTGCAATTCTTGTTGGCACGGCATATTGAGCAGAAGATCAGTGCTGTAATGCAAGTAGGATTAGATGAAAAATCAAGAAAATTATTACCATTTTTCTGATCAAAATGCAACCACCGCCATTTTATGACCCATGCAGGTTGTCACTTCCCCCTACAAATTTTCTTCTCCTTCTCCTCTACTGATGCAGCATCACCTTCTCCCACTTCACATCCCTCCTCAGGCTCAGTCCCCTCCAGGTTGTCCTCATCTACAAAACCTCCTCTCTCCACAATGGGGGCAAAACTTAACAAAGATTGCTTTGATTGAGCAATGGCTTTTGCAGCAGCCTTGCTCCTACTTGCAGGCACCCTCCCCATTTCCCAGATGATCTCCCCACCAAAATCTATGTTCACGCCCACGCCCACACCCACGTGAACATTGTGAAAGAATATTCTAACCTTAGAGCCCACGTGAACATTGTGAAAGAATATTCTAACCTTAGATTAATGACATGGTTTACTTAGTGTAACTATGTTTAGTTAGTGTTAACTAAGATTGATGATTATTTATTTAATCTTGTTAATTAGAATTAATTAAACATAATTAACCATGAAACCCTAATCCTCAAAAGGTAGGTGAATATACCGGCAGGATTCCTTATAACATCCAAACGTACCGGATCTAGCCTTATACGAGATTTTTTGCACCGGTCGTATATCCTTGTAACTTTGTTTTGTACCGGCAATTCTGAAATGGTACCGGCGGGGTACAAAGGAGCCTCGGACTTTGTTACACACTGGTCATCATGTTTGCCACTGTCTGATTTTCAACTGCTAGTCAGGTTTGTGGCACCTATAAAGTTATCAACCCCTGAACTTCAACTTCTTCATGGTGAACTTTTGACGCTGCTTTAAGTTTGATCACTCAGACATCATTCCCATCCCACTCCCACAGGAATCCAGTGTGGTCGCAAGCGCTTTAGCAAAGCAGGGTTTCTGGATACTAGTTACTTCTGACACTCTCAACAAAGCAATCCTCATCTGATAAAGTACCTTGGTCAATAAGATTCATATAGATGTCCTTCTGTCACATCACTAGTGAACTCCAATTGTAACAACTTTGGATACTTTATCAGCTGGATGTCCTTACAGATTATTTCCTCCAACATCTATTCAAGCCTCATATGTTGTAGTCCAACATTCTTGGTATGATAATCTGCTTCAAGGTAATACAGATTCTTATTTGACACCTTGAGAACGCCATTAGCTCTTGTAGCACGCTGCTAGGTTTATTCTAGTGAATGACGGTGTCATGAAGATGGTACACTTTTGCAATCTAATGATGCAGAAGTGGCAGCACAGGTATAGATGTCTGGATTTTATGTGCAGAATGCTTTGTTAACTTCATTGCTTTGGTATCATTATATACATAACAGTATGAGTGTGATGCTTGGATGACTTTGGCTTTTTTGCTGAAATGGAGACTTGTTGTTAGTCATCTCCACACTCCTTCAAAGACTTTATGTTTCACTCAAGACAGGGACTTCATCAGAATATCAACAACTATCAAGGCAGTCCAAGTTGATGGTTCTATTGTTGACTTGATCCCAAATGAAGTGGAACCTCAACTCAATATGCTTGGTGTGTGAGTGAAATTTCACATTTCGAGTCAATGCTACTGCCAACATATTGTCACAAAAGAGTTTGACTATTAAAATTTGTATCCCAAGGTCCTGCAATAACATCTTAAGCCAGATGGCTTCTTTTGCTACTGCAACAGCTACAATGTATTCAGACTCGCACAAGGACATTGCAGTGATCTACTACCTCCTGGAACACCAACTAACCATATTATGGTTGTACATGAAGACATACCCTGAGGTAGATCTGGATCTCCTGCCAAATTTGCATCTGTGTATCCCACCAGGCCATTGCCTCAATTTCCTCTTCTATATTTCAATGTGTATTTCCTTGTACCACTCACATACCTTATGATCCGCTTCATAACAACTTAATGTGAGGATGAAGGGTTGTCAAGGAACTTTGAGTGTGCTCCCACACTAAATGTAAGATCAGGCCTAGTTGAAACCATCAAGTAAATGAGGCTCCCGACCACTTGTCGGTACAGTATCGTGTTCTCCTCCTTGGGAGGGTCATCTGAAGTTGATGTTGAACTACAGGTCTTCAACAACTTTGAGCCTGCTTCTATGGGAGTACTTGTCTCCACAACAAGTCTTGGCATTAACACATGATTGTGGTGGCCAATTTGCAGAAATGAATACTAGTCAAAAGATCCTTCATGCTGGATACTATTGGCCATTTCTTGGGGAGCAGTGGTTAATTTTCTCTTGATTCTTCGGCAGACCATTACAAGATCCTCACCGTTGTCACCTTGTGGACACCAGTAGTTATAAGATTTCATACTTTGATGAAGGTACTAAAATTGGAATGCATTGCATCGCAGATTTATTTCCTTGACACGCAGATTTGGTATGTCGTATTTTCCGCTATTCTTGGCTGCATAACTGGTGGTTTCGCCCACCTTGGCCAGGTTTTAAATTTTACCAGCTAAATATGAAAGAAGCCACAAAATTACAAAAAGTTTACTCTAAATTTATAAACTATTTTTTGCATGCTTACCCGGAAAAGATAACTCTTGTTCTAAAGAGCTCAGCCTAGCTTTGCATCAAGATGGAAGGTGATGACAATTAAACTTGTTGGAAAGAAAAGCAACTTTAATCGAAGGGCTCCTATTGACGCTTGGGAGTAGTTTGAGACCATGTATAGTAGCGACTTCAGGACACAATCCATGCGAAGAGGAGGAAAATTCCAAGGAAGATCAATTCTGTTAAGCACCAAGTCCCTTTCTTGGCAACAAATGGATTGCATATGTAGACATCTTTATCCTTGTTCTTTCCACTTGGAGCTGGGTTGATGTTTATAGGAACCGATGATGATTTACTTCTCTTTATTTGTCATTTTTATTTAAAACTTCCGGTAGAGAAAAATTCTTTCTTAATTACGTTGTTGTTTCAGCTCCCGATTCTTCTGTGTCCCCGAGCTCTCCCGTGGTGTTGCCGAGACTTTGTAAAGCTTCCAGGCGGACAAAACTGGATGACATATCCGCCACCAGAAGTGCAAGTGAAAGTGCTGGTCAGATCGTCGTAAGCGTAGCTATATGCCTGGGGACAGTCGTTCTTGAAGAGCCTCGAGTAGAGAGTTGGGGAGCAAGTCTGGGGAGTGCTATGGTTCCCTCTACAGCAGAAGGCGTCCGTCTGGAAGGCCTCGCAAGCGCTCTTGCAAGCGACGACATGCCCGCCACTGTTGCGAACTTGGAGCTCCTGGGGACAGACCGCGTTGACATCGCTGTGGCAGCCTACGTTGGTGCATCCGGAAGAGAGCGGATACATCCTCACTGGGAGATTGTAGCCGTCGACGAGAGAAACGTCGTAGAAATCCTTGCTGGAGAAGCCATTGAGCTTTATCTCGACGAGGGTGACGGGAGTGGCGCCGGAGGAGCCTTTGCAGTAGAGCCCGTTGCCACAGTCTCCGGTCTCGCAGCTCCCGCGGTTGCTGCTATCAAACTGGCAGCCGGTTCGTCCCCAGAATCGGCCACCCCAGCCCGAAGGGATTGAGAGCTGGACGGAGTGCGATGGGTCGAGCTTGTAGCCACCTTCGAGAACGGACTCTCCATCGCCATTCAACCAGCCAGGCCAGACAGTGAAGGAGCACGAATTGTTGAGCGTGAAAGTTACTCCATGAGCTTCAGCAAGGACGAGCTTTGAGGAACATGAGAGATCTCGAGCGATAAAACTCACCTGAAGTGAAGAAGAGGAGGAGGAGCAGCGTCAGGAACGACATATTGCTCCGGATCGAATGGAGAAGCCGGAGAGTCGAGCTTTGGGTTATAAAACGGTGATGCCGGCCAAGAGCGCTTGAAGACGACCATGAATGCCAGGACAGAAAAGAGAGCCTGGCTTTACAAGAAACCAAGAGCTCACATTTTCCGGCAAACAAAAGCAAACGAGAAGCTTACTGATGTGTTTGTCAATCTTTTCTGCTCGCCGTCGCAATCTTCCTTTATAAACTTGATGGCAGGAACTGGCTGGCCATCGCACAAAAGCGAGACTTTCATGGACCAGTGACATGATAAAAAAGAGAGCTTGATCCATCACCTTTTCCTTTAAGCGGCCGAGGCAGTGTGTGCTCCTTGCTCCAATGTCGCCATAAATTCCAAAGCAGCGAGAATTTCCTTTGTTGGACCTCGTTCTTCTTCATTCTCTAACAGCCGCACTTTAGGAACAAGTCTTGTCCCTTCATTGCCAAAATCCGCCTCCTTGGCATGCCCTTTTCGGGCATACGCAGCTAAATCACACACCATTGCCAAAATGCCCATCTTGGGCATATGTAAGCATATTATAAAGCCATCCCCAAGCAAGTAAGGGCTCTTGGCTCTTCATATGTGAAAATGGTTTGTAAATGCCGGTGCTGCGATCAATTGCCTTGGCGGCGTCACACCAAGAATGGAGCTGGATCCGGTCGGAGATCAACGCCATCGCGGAGGAGATCAAGCGATGCGCCGACGGCAGGCTGCTGGCTCGGGGCGCGTCCATCCACCGCGAGATTGCCGGCAGCAGCCACGCCAAGAATCGCTACCTCGCCAACAAGCTCATCGAGATGTATGGCAAGTGTGGCAACGCCCAGGCCGCCAAGAGCATCTACAATGGCATCCAGGCGCCCAATTGCTTCTCCAAGACGATGATGCTCAGCGCGTTTCTCCGCAATGGCCAGCTCCAGCCCGCCATGGCCATGTTCTTCGCGGATCCGGCAGTGCCCAGCAGCAGCAGTGGCGATGTGGTGCTGTGGAACACGATGCTGCAAGGGCTGTGCGATCTGGGGCATTTGGATCAGGCCAGGCTCTTGTTTGATCGGTTCCCGCAGTGGAACGTCGTGTCGTGGAACGCGCTCATGACCGCAGTTGCCGAGGATGGGGATTGCGCCAGCGCGAAAGAGCTGTTTGAGGGGATGCCCGAGCGAGACATGGTGTCTTGGAACGTCTTCTTCTTCCATAGCTGCACGCTCAATGGGGAGCTGTCGACGGCCAGAATCGCTCTGGCCCGCGCGCCCCAGCACAGCGTCGTGACGTGGACGGCCATGATCACCGCTTACAGCAGCCATGGCTATCTCGACGAAGCGCGCTCGCTCTTTGACACCATGGCCGAGCACAACATAGTCACCTGGAACGCGATGATAGTAGCTTACACCCAAACTGGCCAGGTTGATCAAGCTAAGTACGCTTTTGATAAGATGCCATATCAGGATGTTATATCCTGGACTGCTATGGTAACAGCATATGCCGCGTGCGGGCATGTTCTTACTGCTAGAGCTCTGTTTAATGACGCTGTTTATCGCGACATGGTTTCGTGGAACACACTACTATCGGCTTATTCACTAAACGGTCACTTTGAACAGGGCAGGGAGATATTCTCAAAAGCGCCAGTCAGGGACGTGGTTAGCTGGAATGTAATGGTCTCAGCAAATGCCCAATACGGGCATCTAGAAGTATCTAGAAAACTGTTTAACGAGATGCCATGTCGGAACTCCGTTACGTGCAATGCTCTGATGTTAGCGCACGCTCAAGCTGGAGACACAAGTCAAGCACTGGAGATTTTTGAAAGAATGCCCCAGCAAGATATTACTTCCTGGAACATTGTCCTCACCACATATGCTCAAAAGGGTGAACTTGATGCGGCTCAAAGAATATTTTCTGCTATACCAGTGGCCAGCATTGTCACATTGAATGCCATGATGGCGGCTTATGCAGAGGTTGGCAAGGTCAGCGACGCGAGGCATATTTTTGATTTGATAATGCAAGAGCGAAACTTGATAACATGGAATTCTATGATCCAGGCGTATGCCCAGAATGGTCTAATGGAGGATTCATTTCATTTCTTCCAGCTCATGGTGCTTGATGGCATCAAGCCTGACGAGCTCACTGCATTTGCAGTTCTCACCGCTTGCAGCTATGGTGGAAAGGTGGCAGAGGCTCGCGAGCACTTAGTGGCGATGGTGGAGGACCATGGCTTGAGTCCAAGTTATGAGCTCTATGGTTTCATGGCAGATATCATTGCAAGATCTGGAGAGCTGAGCTACGCTGAGGAACTGATTGCGAGCCTGTCAAACTCGGCAGATAGTGTTGCGTGGACAAGCTTACTTGGAGCTTGTAGGCTCCAGAGTGATATCCAACGAGGCCAACGAGTTGCTTTGCTTGCTGCTACTTCGGATAGACAAGATTCGGCACCTTACTCACTGCTTGCGAATATGTCAATGGAGGAAATCTGATGGCTCCGAAGCCTCGCTGAAAGGCTTAATCACGCGCTGGTTGGTGTATCATCATTGCTGGTGGTTCGCTCCATCTCTTTTTCCAGATGGAAAAGCCTAATGGGTAGAAGATTGTTGTCCCGGGCTAAGCTACTTTTGTTGCTTCCTAAGCTCCCCAAACACAAACTTGAAGTACTTCTGGACAGGTGGAGCTGCTAGTGGGGATCTTTGCCCGGGCTCTGCTACATTATGAGATAACATAATCATCTTAAAAGGCATACTGCATAGTGTTTGCAACCTTTTTGTTTGCTCACAAATTAAATTACTTTGACTCCCTCCTAGTTTACTTAAAAATAAATATATTATTATTACAAAAGAGAGGTATCTTTAGATTATTGAAGCCTCATATAGACAATTAGTGGTCCAGACCTAACATGACTCCCCCCTCAAGTATCATGGTTGGGTCGATGGCTGAGAGACATGTGCCACATGTTGCCAATTATATTGTCCATCTATATGAACCTATTGATAAATCTGTGGACCAAGTTAAGCTTGTACTTAATATGGTCCAATAACCCACAGCAGGGCAAATAATGTGGTTTTTCAAAATTTTAATGAAACAAGTCATGAGAGAAATTAATATGAAAAGTTTTTATAGGAAAAACTATGGTTTCTTCAAAATAAATTTCTAATGGTTTTATATTTTTTTATATATAGTCTAAGTATTTGTGTGACAAATATTTTTTAGTATAGTGTTTTCTATGGTTTTTATAAAGATGTTACTCTACTTTTTTCATCAAATACTGCATATAATTTTTTTATGGTAGAATAGCTAGGATTTTGTATAGTTTTGAGAAAAACTATGTATTTGTTTAATATATGGTAATTATATATTTAATTATAAAATAAGAAATATATTTTTACATGTAGTTTAGAAAAATAGTCTTATAATTTTTCCTAGAGCTTTACATGCATTTGTGATTTGATGTAACTGAATAGTTTTTATATATTTTCATATATTTTATTAAAATTTTCAGCCTTCTAAATGGTTAATGTAATCTTATCTTAAGTATTCGTCACCCATGTTGCTAAAGATACCAACCCAACCTTTAAAGCATGCCAACAACAGTAAGTGATAAATTTTATCTTCCATCTTACAAATTGTTTTGAAGTTTTGAAGGAAAATTTCTTTTTAGGGACAAAATATCTAACTTTTTAAGTTTGGCCTTTTATAAATAAACTAAATTAATCATAACTATAGCTCAAACTAAAATACTTACTATATAATGTTTAGGCTTGTTTAGTGGGGGCTTTAAAGTTGTCACCCCTTATTTTTCATTATGTTACAATAAGAATTAGTTTGAATGTATTTAATGAAAAAAAATTTGTTCACCTCATTCTTTACTTTAAATTTAGGTTATTATGGTTTTTACATGACACTAGCCTTAATGTTAATATTGCTTCTAGAGCTTATTCATATGAACCTATAGAAAAACTACATAGTAGAATATATTTATATGATAATTTACCTTAAAGTCAACTCTAATAACCTTTAGTTTCTTTGGCTATGGGATAATTTTCATTTAAGGCATTGTGGTGGTTTTATTACCTTTTATAGAAACCTACACAATATAGAAACCTCTAGTTTACAATCATATTGAGAAATATATAGATATTTATTGTTGAATTTATCAAAGGTGTGGCTAGTTTCTCTACTAAGACTATAATATGAATTTAGTATATAACATTGTAGTTATATCAGTAGTTTTTTATAAGACCTTACAAAGAAATCATATATAATTATTGAATACTATATTAAATACCATTGTGAGACACAAATCCTTAAGCCCAAAAGTAAAGTTAAAAGTGTGCCATATGGTAGTGGTCGATGTAGAAGTCTAACAAGTATAACACATTTGGACCAAAAGCTTAAACTCAGAAAGTCAAGAGCAAAAGTGGAACTCCAAACTATAAATTTCTTAATTTGGACTTCTTAAAAGGTCATTTAGCACAGTACAATTTAAACCCAAAGATACTTAATTTTAAATATCCCAAAACCCTTAATCAATTGGAAAAGAGGGTACACTCTTGTTTATGAGTTATTTCTTTTATATTTGAACCCTTATAGATCATCTCTCAAATTGTTCTTTTTAGTTATTTATAATCTATCACATTTCCTTACAAGTTTATACCCTCGTGAATGGAAGTTGAGAGCTATAACTCCCTTAAAAGCCCTGCTTTCTTGACACCCTACTTCAGGTCAAGCTCAGTTAGAGCAAATTAGATTTACCAAATGTCAATCTCAACATATGGTGTGATTCCCTTACCCAATCAACAGAGTCAAATCTAAAACTGCTTTGATACCAAATGCAAGCTCCTTGATTTGGACTTCTTGGGAAGTCACTTAACCCAATACTATTCAAACCTAATGATACTTAACCTTAAGTATCTCAAGATCTTTAACCAATTAAAAAAAGGGGTGCACTTTTGTTTATAAGCTCTTTCCCTTTATATTTAAACTTTTATAGATCATCTTTTAAGTTATTTCCTTTGGTTGCTTACATAAATAAATTGCTTGAAGAATGAGTATAAAGCAATCAATGAATGAGT